TAATATAAAAAGAATGACTAAATATCTGTGAAGTAGGTATGCATTCAATACTGTTTGGACCCACGTACACCTCCTTTATGACTAATTGAACGATTTTGAAAATAGAACAGTTTCTATAATTATATCCAATGGAATTCGAGCTATCGATACTTACCTTACTGTTCGAGGTAACTATTCAGAATATCCTTCTTTCAATAATTTGGTTCACTCTTTCTGCAAGTAGGTACTATTTGAAGCCACTTTTTGATAAATTTTTTTGAATATTTGTTGGTTGCGGGTATGTCTTAACTCATCTGGATATTTCAGCATAGGACAATTGGACTCAGATAAGACAGAAACTTTTGGTGTTTGGTTGTTCCCACTTTGGGTATTTTTGTTGTTTTTTGTTTGCGTTTCGTGTTCGATGGTACCCATAAATTGTTTATTTTTGTGATGGTGGATGGCTAGATTCATGAAATATAAATGTCTACAAGCATTGTCTAAGGATTTAGACAATGCTACAAGTATAAAGGTTTGTGACTCTTCTGTGTCACTTCAATAAAGAAGGCCCCTGTAATTGGTCGAAACTTTTCAGGTGAAATTTTAAAAATAATTTCTTATTGTTGCTAACAGACATTCGTTTTTTTCAAGTCAATTAAATGATTATTACAAATTCAAAATTCATTAAAACCGTTGATAGCATTTCCATAAAAGCTATTAATTTTTGCTGGAAAATGAAAGTTGGTTTTAAGTTAGGTACCATACAAATTTATACTGTCAAAAACTACATCATTACAAAGAGAGAAAGGCTAAGAAAAAACTAAAACATTTTAAGATCATCCATTAATTCCAACCTACAAACGAGGGTTTGGAATTTATGTTTCAGCCATCTTTTTCCAAGGTTTTCATACACAATTTGAGCGATTTTCCACTCTTTGTTTCCAAACACGTCTTTATAGGTCTGGATGAATGGACAATTTTTAGTGTTATCTGCACCACTTGTGAAAATTAATGAAAATTTTTAAAAATGTATAATTGAACTGTTAATTTTTGCTTTACCTATAAATGGGAAACTGTTGTGCAATGCAATAAACGCATTTATTATTATTCCCCCTGAAAATTCCTCCAGGAATTAAGATATCATCTCCACTGAAATTAAGATCTAAATCCGCCCTAATATGGGAGATAATTATTAAAATGAAACAATATTGTCCGTTACCACAGTCATTTGTAGAATTGAAATATAAATTCAGGTCTGTTTGTATGCAACTCACAATACCGTTCGTCATCTGAACCGTTAGGTACTTACTGAAAACAAGAGTGCAGAATTAAACACTTCAGTGTGGTGCTGAAAGTGTCAAATCGATATTTTACATTTACAATATTATCCAGTGAAATGATTTCATTTAGGAGGCTCATAAACTAGGAAAAAATTACAAATGATCTGTTTATTTCAAAAGTATTTATATATCTTCTTTTTATTTCAAACTTGAAATGGATAATTTATATAATAAAATACCTAAATATAAAAATTTTAATTATAGGAAATTCAATACT